AGTACGAACGCGGCCCCTGAAACATGGGAAGACTAAGAGTTCCCTGTAGTACTGAGGAACGAGAAAATTATGTATAATAGCTTGAATTTCTGACAACTATCTTCCTACCAAACAGCCATCCACACTATGAATCAAGCCCTCATTTGTTTCAAGGTATGAATAGTGACGAGCGCAGAATGGACACAACGTGGGAATGTTTCTATTTGACACTATTTCCGCATGACCAAGATAAACTAAGTCTCGAATCTCTTCAGTGCTTATCCTGGACAAATAACGTACTAGCGTGAGCTCACTGAGCACTCCCAAACTAACTTTTGGACGGAACACCTCGTCGAAGTCCACACCCCCCCCCAGCAACTTATAAAATTCAAGAATGACACTCACGTACTTAAAAATAAGGAAAGAATAAACAGAACTGTTCAAAATCTAAAAATCAAGTACTCAAAAGTAAGTAAAGAATAAACAAAACTGTTGAAAATTTAAAAATCAAAAAATTAAAAAAGAAATACGTGAGATTCTGACGAATCGAAAACGAACAATGTGTGCAGCGAACAGGAAGTTAAAGGACGAGAACTTACACGGCGGGAATTCCGCGAGTTCAAATCGAGGTAAGTCCGAATCCGCATCCCACCTATTTATCCCTGTTTTTATCCCTCGTTTTCTTCTATGATGTTATTTAATATGCTAGGGTGGGCCAACGATAAGTCCCTGGCTCTTGTCTAATATAGGAACGTATTTTGGTGCAGTTATGCGAAAACCATTTTGCACGAATAGTGTTCGTTCATCTGCCTCCCAGATACCCTACACCTGTGGGCCTGGGGGATCCACATATTTTTGCAGCAGCTGTTTTCATTTTGAATGAGCGCAGTTCGGCGACGGGGAGGATAATTTTGCAAATCCGCTGCTTCTCATTGTCGTGTTCAATGCTTTACAATGGTTGACAGGTTGACTGGTATTGCTTCACGACTTCACAAGACTTCACAAATCCCTACCTGATGGCTCGACAACAGTAAGAAGCAGTGGAGGTGGAAATCCCCTCCCCCCCCCTCCCCTCCCCTCCTTTGTCGCCAACTGCGCCTTGGGTTCTCTGCACCAGAATGCGTATCCATTTTAGACTAGCACCTCACTGCACTTTGCTGTCATCTTCGTGAGGCTGAGTTAATCCCTTGCGACACTGGGTAGTTTGAGAATCTGCGAGAGGCAAATACACTTGTCGATCCAGGGAACAGGGGGGAGGGGTGGGGGATGCGCCAAAAGGATTAGATGGGAGAAGGGCAAGAGAATCGTAACTTGCCGCTCGCCGCGCACGGCGATGGGCGCGGCGTTTTCTTAACTCGTGTTAACCTGTCGATTGGAGCACCGGACTTCATGTAGACCCCGTCATCGTAGACATTCATGACTATTTTCGGTTCTGAATTGCCTGCTGTCGCGACGTCGCACGTAACGCCCACCAGCGCGATGAATTACGATTCTCTTGTCACATACCTGTCACTACGACCCTAGAACCTTTTTCTGCCACTAAAAACCCTCCCCCCCCCACCCCCAAATGTAGCTCCACTCGTACGACCTGCTTTCTCATCCTGCTTGCCCAGGTCCTCTACCCAATTCTAAAGAATTCTCCCCGTTTTCACAGAAAAAAAACCGGCGTCGAGTAGTGCACAAAATCCTCTCCACCTAGCTAATAGAATCAACTATAAGAAATAGTAGTTGTGATAACGAGTAGTCTGAATGGCCTCTACCAACTCGAATGAGAAAGGTATAGGGGCAACAAACGGGGAAACATCGAAATCCAAACATTTCTTGTCAACGCCAGATACGACCGCTTTGCATACGCAATACGACTGCTGGAATTCCTTTTTCCAGTACGATTTTCCTCCCTCTCCCGAATGTCCTCCTCTCGAACAATCCCCTTGCCTAATTCTTCCAACGGTCTATCAGTTTCCTTCTTTTTTTTGTTTTTCCCCCTTAAGGAAGGCATCGAGCTGGGCCAGCAGGCGTTTTTTTCTCAATTTCTGACAAAATCAACGGTCCAGAAATTGTTACGCAGTGCGTTTCGGCTTTACCAGTTGAAAGAGGAAGGAGGTTATGCGGCACTTGAAACGGGAAGAATCAGCATCCATGAGAAGAAAATGCTCCCAAGACCAGAAACGACCACCCTGTCCATCGACCAAGTATGGCCTTCCCATAGTGTTCTTACAAGTGGTGTACCTCTGCTCTGATTAGCCAGCTTCCCCATCTCTTTCTGTTCTCCGAAAACGATTGTCCGCTTTTTCCTTCTAGCGAGTGGTCCGCAGCTCTCCGATTCCTGCAAATCGATCCGTATATTTCACGTTAGTGCGGATTCCGCGATTCTCTGCTTTTCCGATTCGTCAGTGTTGCCAAGTATGAACACAGCCTAACCTTCAAGTACCGCATGTTCAGGTTCAGGATGCACGGATACGAAAAGCTAAGGGTACGGCATTTGTTGAAAGCGCTTCAGCGCAAATTAGTACAGGAGTTTTTCCCGTGAAGTTCAGAATTAAGTATTGCTCTACTTGCCCTTTTTGTAACAGTTATACATGCACGCTTATACATCGTTATTAGTAACGTGAACAAATAATAAATCTAAAATAAATAAAAAAGTTCTGAATAATCCTGTTTTTTCCTTATTTTCTCTTTCTAGATTACGGAATCAATAGCATACTATATCAGCGAGGTTTATATCCTGGTGATACGTTTAAAAGAGAGAAGAAGTATGGACTTACACTACTGGTCACCAATGACTCGAAATTACAACAGTTTCTGGAGCCTCTTCTGAAGCAAATAGAATGTTAGTTCAACATTTTTTCGTATCAGCAAGAAGTTAGTTAAAATGTTCACACATGGAGGAAAGCTAATTAACAATATTCCTCCTGTTACTTCTTGTGGATGGTGGTGAAATGGCCCGTATCGTCGCTTATGATGCCGGGGTAAGATGTGGGGGAAAGGGGTATGTAGCGGTTGGACTAGGCGGCGTCGCGCGCGACAATTGCAAATACCGTACGTTTACGATGGCGCGTGCTCGCGATGGTTTTGATAGGGTGACAGAAGCATCGTTTCCTGCTTGGTATGCTTTCAGGTAGCCTGGTGAATGATGCAGACAACTAGGTAAAGAATGGGCAAAGACTGTTCATGCCTAAGACTGCGTTTCAGACTTCACGATCGGACCTCTCGATTGAATCGCACGATTGGGTCGCGCGATTCAATCGCTCGCGATCCGATCGTGGAGTCTGAACGCGGTCTAAGCTTTCTTCGGAACAGGAAACTTGTGGTGCGACTTCAATTTGCTGTAAATGAAGGGGCGGTAGGCAGTATGAGTGCGGCGAACGTTCTTTGCCAGTTGTTGAAGCAAATATGCTGCAGTTGCTAGAAAACGAGTGATTCGAACGATATGATACAGTCTTGTCACTTGCTCGCTTCAACAACTGGTGGAGAACGGGTTTGGCACCGCGCCAAACTCATCCCGCCTGACACGCCCTTTCGTTCGCAGGAGTTAGACTGAACTTAGAAGCATCTGAGTTTACTCCAGTGCTGGGTGGTGAGAGCAAACGAGCGAGACGGGCGGATGTTTTCGCCCTAGCCCAAGGCGAAGCGCCTTCTTATCACTGAGCTTGGGCAGAAAGCTTTACTGTGTATTTATGACAGGAGTTTGATATTTTTAGTGGCTTGTGGGAATTCTACATCAAAATGCTGTCGTACTGTATTTGCCCCTTTAATTTTGTTAGATTCTTCTGCATTCCAATGATAGACACTGGCTAGGGAACAATTTAGCATTCATAGAAACGGTATGGCGAGTACGCGATAATGATCAAAACTCGTTTTACAGTCTTGGTTAAGTAAACGCAAGTTGAAACGTTTGGTTCTGGTCATTTCGGAAATCAATAACCAAAGAAGTCATGGAACGGTGGCAATTCGATATTCAAACTGAGGAAATGAACGAAGAGGGGTGAGTAACTTTCTTTCACGTTGATGTACAGAGTGTTGCTCTTCGTTCTCTGGCAAGTATCAAGCTTAACGCTCAATAAACCTCGTAAATGTTCTGATTTACGGTTATTGCTTTCCTCGATGTTGGAAACAACGTTTATTGACTGGTTGACTTCCCTTTCCGAAAAAGATGATCTTATGGTTAGAGAAACGTCAGTCAGCGGTAAACGCTGATACCAACCCCGAGTATTTTTGAGGCAATGGTCAGACGTCTCTCAAGCGTGTCGCATCTTTACTGTTGATGTAATTCATGCATTGCAGTGAAAACTCGACCAGGCAGAAGGATGAGAAGAAAATAAAGCAAGAAATGTCTGATGTTATTCGGTAAGTGCAGAAAGGGGTCCTGTATATACTCAGTTATTGTTTTGACTCAAGGGAATGTGATGGAGGGTGAATTACTGTTACAGGCAGATAACGGCTTCGGTAACCTTCCTCCCGTTACTTGAAGAACCATGCTCTTTCGATGTTTTGATTTATACCGGAAAAGAAACCGAGGCACCGAGTGATTGGGTT